CTAATGTCAAGAGAAGTTAATTTTGATATCCCATAAACTTGACCAACCTGATTACATTTTAAGGTGGTAATGGTAGTGGTGGTGGTGGTGGTGGTGATAATAGTAGTAGTGATGGTAGAGTTGTAAAGGATGTGGTGGTGGTCATGGGATGGTGGCGGGGTGTTATTTTGTTAGCTTGTTTTTAATTCAAATTCAATGAATACCTATATTGTAACAATCTAGAAATTTTCCTTCCCCTCAAGTGGGGGAGTTGACGCTTGAACGGACTTATGAGGCTCCCAGCACTTTTGCAGTCTGTCTGAAATTTTAAGAGTTGTGAATTCCTGCTCGAGCATAGAAGTGGTCGCTCGAGCGGACAGCTTTGTTGGTCTATACGCTCAAGCACAAGATTGGGCGCTTGAGCAGTCTGCCTGGTTGAGTTTGAATTTCTTAGACTAATGGGATTGTTTTTGACCTTTTATTATTGAGCTTGGAGCCTCCCTATTTTATTTTGCGGTATTGATTGAAGTGGTAACATGATGGTAAAGTAAGATTGGACTAAAAACTTTAATTCGGATAATTTTCCTACAAACAGCCGTCACTCTTTCGCCCTTTTATTTTTCCACACTGCTAATTTGGATATGAGGCTAGAACTATTGAAAATCTTGTTTCCGGGGTTTCGATTTGGACACAAGAACGACCTAAAACGGAGCACGGATGAGAGAGTTATGCCCGTTTGAAGTTTTAGTACCTGTGCTGGAAGTAGGTACGCTCGAGCGGGAAAAGCGACGCTTGAGTGGACTGCGCGAATTCAGCTACTTAAAAAGTGAATTTCTAGATCATTCTTTGCACTTTCTTTTTCCTTCTTCCTTCCTCTTACCCTAGGTCCGAAAACCCTTGATCTCTTGACCTAAATACCTTCCATTTGTCAAAGATTTGGCCAAGATCTCTTACCAAAAAGTGAAGAATGCTTGAAGATCTTACTTTTCAACAGATTGAAGTTTGGATTTGTGAAGGAATCTCATCAAAACTTTGCTCTTTGCTTGATTCTTGAGGTAGGGGTCCTAGTTCTCCTTCAATACTTGCATTAATAGATAGATTTGTGGTATTTTGATTATATAAATATAAAATCTACATTTTTAAGTATATAGTATTACATCATGAGATTGAGGGTTTAGGGTTTGAAGTGTTGGGATTCAATTGTTGGGTTAGGATTGTGGATTATGAACCTTAGAGTATAATCAATGGGAAAATTGGGATAAAAAGTAATGGTGTGAGAAGTTTTAATTTTTCTTGAAAGTCTTGATTTTTTTTGAAAACCCTAAGCTGATTCCAAACACTTCGAACCCTAAACCCCAACAATTGAACCCCAACACTTCAAACCCTAAACCCCTAATCTCATGATGTAACACTATATGCTTAAAAATGTAGATTTTGTATTTATATAATCAAAATACCACAAATCTATCTATTAATGCAAATATTGAAGGAGAACTAGAACCCCTACCTCAAGAATCAAGTAAAAGAGCAAAGCTTTGATGAGATTCCTTCGCAAATCCAAACTTCAATCGGTTGAAAAGTGAGATCTTAAAGCAAGTCTTCACTTTTTGGTAAGAGATCTTGGCTAAATCTTTGACAAATGGAAGGTATTTGAGTCAAGAGATCAAGGGTTTTTAGACCTAGTGCAAAGAATGATTTAGAAATTCACTTTTTAAGTTGCTAAATTCGCGCAGTCCGCTTGAGCATCGCTTTTTCCGCTCGAGCGTACCTGCTTCCAACACAGGTACTAAAACTTCAAACGGGAATAACTCTCTCATCCGGACCCTGTTTTAGGTCGTTCTTGTGTCAAAATCGAAGCCCCGAAAACAAGCTTTCCAATGATTTTAGCCTCACATCCAAATTCAAAGTGTGGAAAAATAAAAGGGGGAAATAGTGACAGCTGTTCGTAGGAAAATTATCCAAATTAAAGGTTTTGGTCCAATCTTACTTTATCATCATGTTATCACTTCAATCAATATCTCAAAATAAAATAGGGAGGCTCCAAACTCAATAATAAAAGGTAAAAAACAATCCCACTAGTCTTAGAAATTCAAACTCAACTAGGTAGACCGCTCGAGCGCCTAATCTTACGCTCGAGTGTGCAGACCAACAAAGTCGTTCGCTCGAGCGACCACTCTTACGCTCGAGTGGGAATTCATAACTCTTAGAATTTCGGACAAATTGCAAAAGTGCTGGGAGCCTCACAAGTCCTCTTAAGCGTCAACTCCCCCGCTCGAGCGGAGAGAAAAATTCTGGATCGTTACAATCTTCCCTCCTTAAGAAATTTCGTCCCCGAAATTGCATCTGTTCTAACAAAAATAGCAACAACCTTACAGGAAGAAAGTTTGGATTTTTTGGTTGAAGAGTTATGGATTCCTTGAGTTTCTTTGTATAACTTCATAGCAGATGTAAATGAAATGGATCTTGTATTTGTAATTATTTATTTGTAGTTTCACAGTGAGAGATTGGCATGTATTGTTGTCATTATAATATTCATTGAGAGAGAGAACATGTATTATTGTATTTCTATTACTTAAGGGTAATAGATATTTGTAAAAAAAAAAAAAATGGACCTAAATTAAAGACTTTGGTAATGCTTTCATGTAATTAAAACTTGGGGAGTGACATATATCTAATTTACTTGAACTTAATTTATGTAGGTTGGGTTGAATTTGATGCAGGTTAAAAAATCAACTTGATTACTTTACGAGGAGGTAGAGGTGGTGGGGTGGTTGTGATAGAGATGATGGTGGAAAAAATATTGAGTATAATAGTGACACCATCTTACTTGGAGTCACCATTCAATAAAAAGCCACAAATTAGATTAGTGGACAATCATTCTCTCATTAATCCAATGAAGTTGTGATTCATACCGCAAAATAAAATTGCTCATTAGATAGTAATAGTATCACATATTATTATTATTACAACTAATAGTCACCATTCCATAAAAATCCGCAAATTAGATTAGTGGACAATTTTTGTCTCTTGTCAATCTAATGAAGTGGTTCACACCGCAAAATAAGTTGCTTATTAAATAATGATACTATCACGTAATATTATTGTTACAACTAATATTTACTCAGGGTGGCAATGGATTTATTTTGCTTGTTTTTATATTCAAATTCAACGTATACCCATATCTAACCGCAAGGTGCAATCCATTTAGATTTATTTGTAAATTTGAACATATTTAAACAGTTTCAAATAGATGAAGTTAAGCGAGTTCACGAATTCTATGTTATATTTGTCACCTCTAACTAATTATAGTTTGGAAGCTGCCAGGAGAATCTCTCTCTTGTCAATCTTCTATTTTCACACAAACATTATGCTTAATTTTATTCAATCTTAAAATGTATAATTCCAATTAGTATTCAACTAAGCTAAGGTAGTTTACCTCTTTCTTAGAAACTGCTGAGAGAGAGAGAGAGAGAGGTTTTGGTTCAAAAGTGGTGGGCTTGTCATGTTCTGGGCTCTGATAATCTAAGGTTGTCCTTTTGGATTTGGGTTATCAATTTGGACCGAGCAAGGTGGAAAAAGAAGAGAAATTTCTCATTTTGTTTTTGCTTTTTTTTTTTTTTTCGAAAAATCTATTCTCCAAAAATGGAACATAAACCAAAAAGCAACTCAGTTTTGGTTTGATTCTACGGTTTAGTTGAGAAAAATCATTATTATATCTAGACTATTTAGTTTAATAAAATTAATTTTATCTATACAAATAATCCAAAAATTTCATGAGTATATTTTAAAATTTGAGAATATTTTTAAATTAACTTTTGTAAAATAAGTAAAGGCAAAGCAAATACTTCATATTATATAGTAATTACTTATAAAAATGTAATTTTTAATCATCAGAATAGTAAAAAAATTATAAATATATTTTTTAACAGAAAGAAATTACTTCGTGAATAAAATGAATGAAAGACTAATTGATGTCAAAACGAGATTAGGGTTTGACAAAGCCAATGAGAAAAAAAGTAAGTATCTAGTAGAAGATCCTATACATATTAAAATTAACAAAAACATCAAACGATTTGATTCAATTTTATTTAGATCTTGTGAGCCTTAATTCTCAACTATTCTTAATTTGATAGGTTTTTTTTTGAACAACCCTATAAATGACAGATTAATTCAAACTTCTCATGGACGCAAAGTGGGTACTTTTGCCTTCTCAATATGAACTAAACTCTACTTTATTTTATTTTTTATTTTTTTTATTTTCTGATTTCTTTGCAGGGGTTTATTACTGTTGCTTGTAGCAGTTCTGGGTGCTTGTTTTCTTGCTAATATTTAGTATTGATGATTGGTGCATGATGCTCAATGATGATTATGATTGTCCAGGATTAATAAAACAGAGCTAAAGCAACTAAACAAGCCCACTAAATTGTCTCTTTTTAGAACATCTCCAATTATTCATTAAATTATTTATTTATTTATAAAATTTTGGACCAAAAGCATGATTTGATATAACTCACTCTAATAATGAAAATCAAAATTTTCATCGAACTTTTTTTTTTAAAAAAAAAGGAAAAAACCAAACTCACCACCAACACCTCTACTTCCACCATCTCCCTCTCCTCCCACTGGAACCAAATCACCACCACTCTCTATTATTGCACAATGTTGCACATCTCTCTCTCAACTCAGTCCACACAATTTCAAACACGATCTAGCACAATCAAGCTACCATGGTGGCCCACTTACACCATGTGTGACCACTACGAGCCACCACAATTGACCACAAACCACTATGCCCGACTGCTGGCTCTGTGTCACTGCCGTGTGCTGTTGAAGATAAGGGCACAAATAGGACTGTAGGAGATTTGATGAATGGTTTGGTATTGGCTGATTTGATGAAAAATTTGAGTCTCCCTTGATTTTATGTAGATTTGGTGAAAGGGTTGTGGAGATGATGCTGTTTTGTGATCTATTTTTTGAAAATTTTCTATGGCACTAGACTTTCGTGATATATCACTTGGTCAAAACTAAAAAAACCAACCAATTATCTGAATTGAAATTGATATTAAAAACACATTGTACAACTAAGACAAAATTCACAAAGGAAAAAGATATACTTTACTCTGTCAAACCTCATAGCAATTGAAGCCCTCTTGAATGGGAATTAATTGGATTGAGCTGCTTCACCAAACTGAATTGTGTTTTATTTTAAGAATGTAACCAAGCAGTTTAATTTATTATAGCAAACCGCGTATGGCTTGTGTTATTTGATCTGCATTTTCCTTCAACACAACATAACTTTAGCTTGGAACTTGTAGGACTCCACTGCTGTACTGTTAGGATCATGAGTCTTGGCCATGTAAGTGTCACTGAACTCCTTATATTGAACAGCTTTGAACAGCGGGGGACTGCATACGCTAACAAGTGCTTTTGCAGGTTCTATGACGCATTCTCTAGATGGAGAAATAAAAGTGACTATGGACGTCCTAGCAATGCTTGAGTTTGTCACTGCTCGATGTTTAGCACTTTTTAGCTTCCCATTGCTGGTCATCTACATCCAAGCCAAACAGAGTTTTCATTTAGTTAAAGACTTCTAGTCTGCAAGTGTCCGGGAATTTTATGAGGACGAGGGGTGGAGATATACCTCTAGCTGGTTAGCTATGTTGATAACAAATGCATGAGGGAGAGATTCAACACCGACCCATTGCTCACCCTTGAAGATCTGAAGCCCATACACATGCTGAGAAGTATGGTTATGAGGTTGGGGTCACAGTGTCCACCTACTCCCAAGACCAAACTTGGGTTTGGACATGGAGGGTAATGATTGATCACTAGTGACTGGCTTTTGCTCAGTTCATCTGCAAAATAACCCATTTCAATTCCCATTCCTTCACAAATCAGATCCAAAATCCTCAAGCTTAACTTCCTCACTTCTGCTGAATATGTCCCAACAACCTCTCTGAAAATAAAATTAACAAAAGAGTATCAGTTGGTTATACAACTTAACTCAACGAGCCTTAATCCCAGTAAGTCATTCTCAAGTAAAAGTAGATTATTCTAAATTTTCTATTGTTGGCACATAGCAGTATGAAACAATAAGATCAGATCAGATTTAACTGGACTAATGGAGTTGCAGAGTTTACCGGTATCTAGCTGGCTTTTCAGGCCAAGATTGGATGTGATCCTCTAAAGGGTGACAAGAGTGTTTCATTGAATCCTTCCAGTAGTTAACCTTGTCTTTCAAGTAATTCTGACCACTTGTGTAGAGCCTGAAGCTCTTACTCTTGTCCTCGGAATAGTATGCGGCTTTGTCTTCTACAGGCATGTCAAAGAACTCCTTGAACAGACTCATTGTGTCATCCATTAGTCCTTCTGATACTCCATGGTTGATCACCTGTTTTATATAATATTATGGTAATTGATTGCATTGTTTGGTCAGTGTTTAATAACAAACAATTTACTAGAAGAAATCATCAGATTGTTAATACGTGTATCAAAATGTTTTGTCTTAAGAGCCTTCCAGCAAAAAATGTGTGTTTGTGTGCATATAAATGTATATAAACCTGAAACATTCCAAAATCTTGGCTAGCTTTTATAATTTTCTCAAGCAATTCTGCTCGTGCATGACCCCCTATTTGTCCCAGATCAATGACTGGAATGCCCTTGCATACAGGCGCTGCAAGGTCTCCAGGTCTTATTTCCGGTGGGAAAACATAGTTTGCTGGCACTGCTTGAGCTTCCTTAGACCAGCTTGAAACAAGAATCGACATTGTTTACAAGTGAATTATCTTCCAAGAGAAAAGCCACCTTTGGAGGGGATGAGGTAATGATAAACATGGTTTTTATAATGGCTAGATAGCTTTGTCTATAACAATAAGGTTGCAAAAGGTTCACATATTGTCGTACATTGATGACAAGGGCATGTTCTTAGGAAAATTCAATAAACAAGTTAGTCGAAAGGGAATTTTAGCTTCAAGTATAGTAATTAAGAGAAACCAACATAAAAGAGAGCTGTCGATCAGAATGAGGAAAATAGCGTCTTGGAAGTTTACCATGCCACTAGACATTGTGATGGTAATTACAATGTATTTTGAGCATGACAAGTTGTCTTTGAGTTGTTGTCAAAGGGATATGTTAACATGAGATGAGCTATATATGTATATGCCGATGACAACAGTTAAAGTACAAACCAAGTTTCCATCGTAGATTAATGTTTTAATAGACCACAGGAAATTATAATTAAAAAAAAAGAGCATTTTCACCTATTGAACACGATAATGTTATGTTTGGATCAATCTTGGATTTATCAAGGGAAAGGGAAATGAAAGAAATTGATCAACTTCTTTCTTTTTTTCTCAAATGCAGATGTCAGCATGACGACAAAGAACCGGGACTGGTGACAATTGGAAAGTGCCTAACACTCAACTTCTTTTCCTTTTTCATTTTCAATAATCTGATGTTCTCAGTTAAAATGCCATGGGTCAAGTAATGGAGTCATTCAAATTCTTGCAACGCATCGTCTAACAAGTTCATCAAGCAATCCAGCAGAGACGTTACTGGTGCTTAAATGGGTTTTCATTTTGTCTCTTACTCTCTCTATTTGTCAAAATGAAATAAAACTGAAAATCTCCCTGTACAAATATAAAGATCTAGTTAAATCTGTAACGTCTTACATAATAAATACAAATGAGATCGATGACATGACAGAGATGTTTCACAATTCATCCGAATAAATAGCAGATGAACGTGAACTTTGAAGAATTGAATTGGTCCAAAAACCTATATATGCAAGAACATATTTAACACAGCATGCATGGGCATCAAGAAATCACTAAGAACTCCCCATGTAAGGCATTAACTGCTTTGGCATTTTCATTTCATGTAAGACACCAAAGCTGTGTTTGGATCTCGGATTTGGATAAGAATGAGGGAAATATAAATGAAGGTTGTTATTGATTTCCTTGAATCACATGAATTTGTCACAGCTCGATGCTCAGAACTTTGTAGCTTCTGAATGTTGATAATCTACATGCAAAACAAATAAATGCGAATAGTAGTACATGACAGAAACCAAAATGATAGTTCATATTATTTAACAAATTGTCATAATATGTAAAAAATTGAATTCAAAAAACTCAATTTTTTGAAAAGTGGATTCAAAATTTTCTGAAAACTTTGTATTATATCAATTTATTCTAGTTGCATAAACAAAATTATATGTGAAAAATAATCCAAAATTATCACCGGCTTCCAAAATTTGCTGAACTATATCAATTTGATCTTGACCCACAGATTTTGCAAGATCAATTACCGGAATGGTCTTGCATAGAGGAACAATGAGTTTCCCCGTAGGAATATACATAACTCTGAGGCACGCACTGAACATTAAACCATCTCAAAGAATCTTCTTCATCGTCTCAATTCGAGTCTACTGGTTCCGCTATGTATTCTAAACATGTTTGACAACAATGGATCCTTAAACTTTCCTACAAAGAGTACCCCTTTTGTAATAAACAACTCTTCAAACTCCAGCATTATTTAATAAGAAAATCCTCAATTTAACCAAACAATGTAATTGTGGAATAAACTATTAACATTTTTTTTTTGCTTTTGTTTGTTTGTTTGTTTGTTTTTTTTTTTTTTTTTTTTGGGTTTGTTTTGGTTTTGGGGTGGTGGAGCGAGGAGAAGAGCGGGTTTGTGGAGCTACAAACAATATTCAGGCTCAAAAACAAAGATCATTGTGGATTTTTATAAACTAATATTTTGGCAATAATAACTTGTTTAGCAAACCATTGGAAATGCTTACTACTAAAAATTTATGTAAAAATTCTTCACTTAAGCCTTTTTTTTTTTGGTTGATAACTCATATCCGATCCATTGGACCAACTAATCAGGGATCAATCCCACCGTCTACTTGCGAGAGTCCTAATTGTATGGATTTGGTCCCAAGAGATTGTTTGCACCTAAGAGATTTCGAACCTGAGACCTTGGAAAATCTTTGGATCGATAGTTTACTCACAAAAGCAACATTTGATTGGTAGTGCCAACAACTAAGTGTGCACGAAAATTTCATTCAACTGATATTGGTTTACACAAAGTTCACACAAGAAAAATTATATTATTCAGAAGTCATCGACATTTGATTGCAACTAAAGCCCTCTTCAATAGGCATTGGATTGAGTAGCTTCACCAAACTGAATTGTGTTCTATTTTGAGAATGAAGTCAAGCAGTTTAAAATCATTACAGCAAACCATGTTTTCACTTGTGGTATTTGATCTACATTGTCCTTCAACACACCATAACTTAATCTTGGAGCTTATATGACTCCAGTGCTGTACTGTTAGGATCATGAATCTTGGCAAATGTAAGTGTCACTGAACTCCTTGTATCGAACAGCTTTGAACAACGGGGGATTGTATGCGCTAACAAGTGCTTTTGAAGGTTCTACAAGGCATTCTCTAGATGGAGAAATAAAAGAGACTATGGATGTCCTAGCAATGCTTGAATTTGTCACTGCTCGATGTTTAGCACTTTTTAGCTTCCCATTACTGATAATCTACATCCAAGCCCAACAGAGTTTGCATTTTTAGTTAGGCAGAATCATAGAAACATCTGTGAAGTGATTGCACTTTCTTGGATAGACTTCAAAGGGCAATAATATGTAGGCTTTTAGCTTTAAGCACAAAGGGGTGGAGATATACCTCTAGTTGGTTAGCTGTATTGATAACAAATGCATGAGCAGGAGGTTCAACACTAACCCACTGCTCATCCTTGAAGATCTGAAGCCCATACACCTGCTGAAGAATGGTTAAGAGGTTGGGGTCACAGTGTCCACCAAGTCCCAAGACCAAACTTGGGTTTGGACATGACGGGTAATGATTAGCCACTAGTCCCTGGATCTTGCTCAATTCATCTGCAAAATAACCCGCTTCAACTCCCAATCCTTCACAAATCAAATCCAAAATCCTCAAGCTTAACTTCTTCACTTCCACCGAATGTCCCAACAACCTCTCTGAAAATACAATTAACAAAAAAGCATCAGTTTATATAACTCAACACAACAACCCAGCGTCACACACCGGCTATGCGGAAGCCTTGTCAAGCAAGTGTGTGTGGTGCTAGTTAACTCTCTTCACTAGCCTGCCAATTAAGCTGAAAGGGTTTGCAAAGACAAGCAAATTAGCATATGAGCCACTAGGTTGGAGACAAGCCACAAATTAGCAAGCAACAAGCTAAAATTAAAGCAAGCAACAATAGAAAAGCTTTGCATAATCTAAACGTGAAATGAACTTTTCATTGATAAAAAATAAGCATTACAATAGTTGAACAATGCACCAAAAATGCTACAAAAGTTGTCTTACCATTGGCTAGGTTGGGGTACTTTAAAGGCACTGTTAGGTTTTTATTCTTGGCAATCCCGTTTGACAAAACTCCTTTCAGTTGTACTTGTTTTCGCACTTTTTATTTCAGTGAGGCTATGAGTTTTTAGATGCGAATCCAACCCGAGTTGTGCCTTGCAGAGAAGTTTGTGATGTTAATTCTTTCAAGATTGCCACTTCGCTGATTAGGACGGGGATCGAGCTACCCGGTCAGCTCGCGAGGGTCCAGGGGGCAGCGCCTCTTGGCGGGTCTAGGGCAGCGCCACGGGGGGGTTGAGGGGCAGCGCTCCCGAAGCAAAATGCAAAAATGCATTCAAAGTTGCCTGTCCGCTCGAGCGGACATTCCCCCGCTTGAGCGGAGAATGCTGAGTTCCAGAAGTTTGATCGCCTGCAAAAATACTGTGAGATGTTTTTTCATGCTTGAGCGGAATTTTCCGCGCTCCAGCGTCGGTCCGTTCGAGCGGCCAATTTGACGCTCGAGCGGAGTTCACGGGACAGATTTCTATAAATACGTGTTTCAGTCCAAATCTAGGGTAATGCCTCCAGATCTTCTTCTTGGGTTCTAGGGTTTATATCTGGGACTATTTTCCTAGTTTTCTTTGATGTTTCATTGAGTATTCAACTCATGGTTTAAGAAGCATACATCAAAGGTTTGATTGTTTATTCTACACAAAAGAGAGAGTTATTCTTCAGTAGATTATGGGGAATTCGAGCCTGAAGCTTTGGTGGATTCTAGAGTGGCTCATCGTCAAGACAATTCCGAGGTGAAGACGGGGTTGGAAGAGGCACATAGCGGTTGGTTCAATTGGGGCGTGGATTCGCTAGGTAATTGAGAGTATACCTGTGTAATTCCTTTATATCTTCTTAGTGGATTGTTTTGTAGCTGTTGCCCGTTGGTTTTTTATCACAATTGGAGGTGCTCCAATTGTGGTTTTTTCACGTAAAATCGTTGTGTCGATTTGTCTTGATTGTTTGATTGGGATTATTATATACTGCTTAAAATTGATACATAATCACAAATCAACATCTAGCGGATTTCTAGATTTTTCAATTGGTATCAGAGCAGGTTGCTCTATTTTGTTTTAAAAAAAAAAACTATTAGAACGAGATCTTGTTTGATTTGTGATAATGGATTCAATTCGTGTGGGAAATTCTATGGTTCGACCACCCCTACTTGACGGATCCAATTATTCGTTTTGGAAAGCTCGGATGAGATCGTTTTTAAAATCTATTGATGAAAAAGTTTGGCAATCTGTCATGTATGGGTGGACTGAACCGACGATTACGATTGATGGAGGAACTTTCCCCAAACCAATTGATAAGTGGGACACAATTGATTACCAAAATAGTAGTTGGAATAGTAAAGCTATAAATTCTTTCTTTTGTGCTGTCACACCTGAAGAATTTAGTCGTATTTGCAATTGTGAAGTCGCAAAAGAGGCTTGGAATATCTTACAAACTATTCATGAGGGTACTCCTTCTATTAAACGCTCAAAACTTCAAAGGCCCATATCTAGTTTTGAAAACCTTTCAATGAAAGATAGTGAGACCTTTGATGAATTTTATGCAAAGTTGAGTGACATTGTAAATTCCAGCTTCAATTTAGGTGAAAAAAATACCAGAATCCAAAGTTGTGGGAAAAATTTTGAGATCCTTGCCAGATCGGTTCCAACCAAAAGTTACGGCTATTGAGGAGGCTCAACATGTTGACAACCTCAAGCTAGATCACTTGGTTGAAAATCTCCAAACTTATGAGGCACATATGAATTTTAAAAAGAAACAAAAAGATACTATTGCTTATAGTAGTGCTCATAGAGTTAGAGAGGATTCTGATGAGGATTATGAGATAGATTCCAAGATTACGGATGCTTTTATAAAACAATTTAAAAACTCTTTTTTGAAAAAGAATCCTAAACTTTTGGAATCTACTCATACTCATAAATCTAAAGGCAAAGATAAACTCAAAATCAATCCTATAGCCAAGAAGAAGAAAGGAAAGATACAAGGGAACTCTGAAAGAGTCCAATGCTATGAATGCCAAGGATTTGGCCACTTTGCTTCAGAATACCCCACACGTTTGAGGAAGAAGAAAGCCCTTGCTATCACTTGGGATGATGAATTAGAATCTGATGAAGATGAAAGTGACAACGAAGATCAAGGTAAAGAGGGACATAAACAATTCATTGCCTTCATGGCGGCTTCCGAAACTGAAGGACGAACAAAGTATCCGAAGAGGTCGGTTGAGAATGCCACTAATGATGAATCCTCGGAAAGTGATGATGTAGAGCTTGAGCAAGCTTATGAAAAGTTGTATAAGGAATCTCTTAACTTATCCAAATTGAATGACAAACTCACAACGAAACTCAAAGCATGTGAAAGTGAGAATGTCAAACTAAAGAAAGAGATTTCCGAGCCTAGGAGTGATGCCATCAAGATAGCTAATGATCAACAAGCTCTTTGTGCAAAACTCTTGACTTGTGAGACAGAGAGGAATGAGCTACATCAAATCTATGCCGTGTATGAAGAAAAGATTGGATCTCTCGAGATGTCTCAAGTTGCTTTGGAAGAACTAATGATCAAGAAAGAGGAAGAACTCAAGTGTGCTATGGCTACCATTGGTCTTTGAAATAGAGGATCAAAGACTTTGGACAATATCATTGGGTCTCAACAAATGTGTTGTGACAAGAGTGGCATTGGCTTTGGTGATAACAAAGAACAAAAACAGAGTGCATCTACATCTCATGATACAAGAACTCAAGGAAAGGGAGAACAAAAAATTCAACATAAGGAAAGACTTTTCAATCTTCCTAAAGTTGGTAAGGTCAAAGAAAAGAAGGTACACCCTATACACCTTGTGTTTATTTGTCATCATTGTGGTATGCATGGTCATATTCGCCCTTATTGTTATAAATTGCATGGGAGAGTGTCTCATAGAGATGGAAAAAATTCCAACATCTCGTGGGGTAGGAGACACTTCATTGGTGGTAATGAGGTTAAGGGTCATATTAGACCTCGTTATTTTGATGTGCTTGAGACCAAACATGGAGCGAGTTTGCATTTGCCTAGTTCTAGGAATAGGAAGTTGGAAACCATGTCAAGACGGGTTCTTATTGAAGGGGAAGGGAACCACAACGTCAAGACACCACCCAAGAACCGCCATTCTCACAACTTTGTTCATACTAAAGCGGTTTGGGTGCGAAAACTTGACTTGTGTTAATTTGTATATTCTTGTTAGTTTTTAGGTTTCTGTGTGTTTTGTTTTTTAGAAAAAAAAAAAGTGTGCATGCTCGTTTTTTGTCTTGCTTTGGTTAAGAAAAAAAAATTAAAAAAAAAAACAAAAAGATTTTCTTAGTATGGGTTTGCAAGCTTGAAATTTTTGAGTAGTCCTTGGTGCATATTGGAATTGATGAGAATATCCATTACATGTTAATATGTGTGTGCTTTCTGTGATCATTACTTATTTCAGAGTGTGTGTTCTTTGATTAGTATGTCTCATTTTGTACACACTCTTGGATTAGCAAATATTGAAGTCTTCCGCATTAGTGATTTTTTTTATGGACTTCTGGCATGGTATCTTTTGTTTTTCTAGAGGAATTAACCGATACTAGCATATCTTGGGTGATGTTGAGTCTCTTAACCACCATCCATCTTTTTGCATCTCCACGATTTTTCCCTCTATTCTTTGTAGTACAGCCATGAGGAAAAGGCTACCTCAGAATCACCAACCAGGCCACCCTTATTATATCTATGCTTCTCTGGTTCGATTTCCATACTCCTGAGCGTGTCAGCCGCCAATGAGTGTGCAAAAGAATAAGAAAAAGAAAAAGAAAAAGAAAAAAGGAACAAATGTGCAAAAGAAAGAAAAGAAAAAATGTGCAAAAGAAAAAAAAAGAGATTCATTGATTGAGGGGAAGCCTCCGCAATTACTCAACAAATACTCCTTGATTTCTAGTGGTTTGACTTTCCTTAGTTATGCTTAGATTCTCTTGTTAGAGGTCCAACTTTCATACCACTACTAGGATTTGAATCTAGTGTTTGTCGAACTCCAAGAGTCACACACACACTTTTATCATGGGATTTATGCTTGTCACATATTGCATCACTTTCTTTTATGAGGAATCTTCTACAGGCTGTGCACATTGTGTTTTTAAGTAATTGTGCTTCTTGGATAATCTTGTGTGTTTCAAGGTACTAATATGAAATTCCTTGCTTGCTCCACCATATTATTTTTTGTCGTTTTCTTCTTGTTCATTGTTTTTAGTAAGGGGGAGTTTGGTTTTTCATTACAAGAGTTTGTTAGCATGAACACTTTATTTTGTTTGGTAAGGGAGATTGGCTATAGTTGTTTTGTAGTTGCTCTGCACTGCTTCTTTCTTGTTCCCTTCTTGCATGTTATAGTTGTTTAAAGCTTCCTTTGTTAATTCGTGACAAAAAAGGAGAGTTATGTTGTCAGGTGCATGTGTCTTAGGTTTTCATGTTTTTCATCTCATGCTTCAAGATAATCTAGTCATATGTTTATTGTTTTTTCCTATACTCTTGTGCCACTAATAGTTGTTTTGGAGATTATGGCACTGATAGCTGTTTTGCAGATCATGACCTTGAGAGAGAAGTTTGCGTTTGTTGGCTGTAATGGGTTGGGGCAATTAGTATTTTATGTGTTAGGTGTGTTTTGTCATGGCATTGCCAAAGGGAGAGATTGTTAGGTTTTTATTCTTGGTAATCCCGTTTGACAAAACTCCTTTCAGTTGTACTTGTTTTCGCACTTTTTATTTCAGTGAGGCTATGAGTTTTTAGATGCGAATCCAACCCGAGTTGTGCCTTATAGAGAAGTTTATGATGTTAATTCTTTCAAGATTGCCACTTCGCTGATTAAGACGAGGATCGAGCTGCCCGGTCAGCTCGCGGGGGTCCAGGGGGCAGCGCCACGGGGGGGTCGAGGGGCAACGCCCCCGAAGCAAAATGCAAAAATGCATTCAAAGTTGCCTGTCCGCTCGAGCGGAGAATGCTGAGCTCCAGAAGTTTGATCACCTGCAAAAATACTGTGAGATGTTTTTTCACGCTCGAGCGGAATTTTCCGCGCTCCAGCGTCGGTCCGTTCGAGTGGCCAATTTGACGCTCGAGCGGAGATCGCGGGACAGATTTCTATAAATACGTGTTTCAGTCCAAATCTAGGGTAACGCCTCCAGATCTTCTTCTTGGGTTCTAGGGTTTATATATGGGGCTATTTTGCTAGTTTTCTTTGATGTTTCTTGAGTATTCAACTCATGGTTTAAGAAGCATACATCAAAGGTTTGTTTGTTTATTCTACACAAAAAAGAGAGTTGTTCTTCAGTAGATTATGGGGAATTCGAGACTGAAGCTTTGGTGGATTCTAGAGTGGCTCATCGTCAAGACAATTCCGAGGTGAAGACGGGGTTGGAAGAGGTACATAGGGGTTGGTTCAATTCGGGTATGGATTTGCTAGGTAATTGAGAGTATACCTGTGTAATTCCTTTACATCTTCTTAGTGGATTGTTTTGTGGCTGTTACCCGTGATTTTTTATCACAATTGGAGGTGCTCCAATTGTGGTTTTTCCACGTAAAATGGTTGTGTCGATTTGTCTTGATTGTTTGATTGGGATTGTTATATACTGCTTAAAATTGATACATAATCACAAATCAACATCTAGCGAATTTCTAGATTTTGCAGGCACAAGTGGTTTGGTTCAACACTTGGGTACCCCCTCCTTAATAAAGCTTGTTAAGCCTTTTCCTAGCTAGCAAGAGGAAACATCCTCTATGTTTGAGGAGTTCTAATGAATTTCTAAAAATTCTACAAAAACGAGAAAAATTACAAAACTTGGTCCCAAAACACTTTTAATACTAAGGTATTTACATAAAAATTTACAAGACAAAAATACTACATTTGACCCTCCAAAATGTGCTTTAAAATTGCTGCTGCACAGGCAAGGCTGTAGCCAGGCCGCAGCCAGCAGCAGCCCCAGCAGCAGACCTTCTTTAGTTGGCACATAGAAGTAAACAAGAAGACCACAATTATTTAAGCGACCTAATCAAGTTGTAGAGTATACCGGTATCTGGCTGGCTTTTCAGGCCAAGATTGGAAGTGATCCTCTATAGGGTGACAATTTTGTTTCACAGTCTTTCCAGTAGTTAACATTACCCTTAATGTGATTAAAACTGCCAGTGTAGACTCAGAAAGTCTTACTCTTGTCCTCAGAATAGTAAGTGGCCTTGTCTTTTGTAGGCATGTCGAAGAACTCCTTGAACAAACTCATTGAGTCATCCATTAGTTCTTTTGATACTCCATGGTTGATCACTTGTTTTATGAATTTTGGTAATTGATTGCATCATTTGGTCATTGTTGAAAAAGTAACTACTTTCAAGCAGAAATCTAGTTCTGTTGTCAGATTCTAAATTATTGTAAATTGTATCAAAATGTTGTGTTAAGAACCTTCCAAGCAAATATGCGCTTGTGTATTTATGTTTTTGTGTGTGTGTGTGTGTGTATGAAGATGTAAAAGTAAGGACTAACAACGAACCTGAAACATTCCAAAATCTTGGCTACCTTTCATAATTTGCTGAAGTAAATCAGCTTGATCATGAGCACCTACTTGTCGTAGATCAATGACTGGAATGTCCTTGCATAGAGGAGCTGCAAGGTCTCCAGGTCTTTCTTCCGGTGGAAAAACATAGTTTGCTGGCACGGTGTGAACATCCTTAGATCAGCTTCAAACAAGAATCGACATTCTCTACAAGTGGATTATATTTTACATTATTTAAGAGAAAATACACATTTGGTGAATGTACCATTACTGATAAATTCAATGATGTTCTTATCGCTGCCAAAAAAGGTAAAGGGTAAATTTCACTAATCTCGCTTGAGATTTGGAGAAAATACAATAAATCCCACAAGTTTAAAATAATTACATTGGCCTCCCTAAAAGTTATAGTTCGCATAACACATAGCCTCATTTTCATCAGAAATTTGTTAGTCATGGGAATAGAAAATTAATGTTATCATCTCTTTTACATTGAAATAAATATTTTACATTATTATCTATGTCTTCACATCATCTACATTGGTCTGGATTCCTTCAGCCTTATGAAAAGGAGGTTGGTGTAATTATGCCAAAACTATAAGATTTAGTGTATTTTCTCCAAACTTTAGGGGAGGTCAATGTAATTTACTCAAAAATAAAATAAAATGATGACAAAGATGACAATAAAAGCATTGTAATGAACAAGCATCTATATCCCTGACAACAGCTACAAGAAAATCCTCAATTTCAGTCACATTTCCCTTCAATTTTCTTCTTCCTTCCTTCTACAAATTCCTATCCAAATTCAACCCGTTTGTTTTTAGAGATACGAGGTAAGATTGGGCCAATAGTGAGTTAGAGTCACTAATATCATGTTTGTTTGCAAAATATGGTTCAAGGGTATTAGTAGTGGCATGGGGAACTTGGTATTCAAAAATGAGTCTGTCCGTATTACAATATAAATAACTATTTTACCTGTGTGGTTGGTTTTTAATATTAAAATATAATAATATAATAATTTATTTATACCAAATATATATATAATATAGTACCAAACATATATATACATAAAACAATTTTTAATATTAAAAATATATCAAAAGTACTTATGAAATTTCATATATATATAAAATAAAAAAAATTCATATATTTAAGCTCATCCTCATAGAATGGCAAAACAAACAACAACTCTTAGACCATCTCCACCACTGCATCTAATATTTCATCAAATTTAAATTTGATAAAAATAACAACCATTTAACCTCCGACCATTTCATCAAACTCATATCAAATAAGGGATGAACCAAATTTTTTATCAAATGGAGCCATTCATCATTTATCAAATTTAAATTGTTACTGTTGGACCGGACATCCTCCATCCGGATGTCCATCCAAGAGTAACTTTGACAGCCATTTTTATTCATGTCTGGATGACCTCAGGAGGTCCTCCCAGACGTCCTCCAGTAATAACTGGAGATGTGAAAAAAATTGATGAAAATTCTAATTTTAGTATTGGAGTGAACGGGTATCAAATCAAACTTTTCATCAAATTTGTACTCAAATTCCATGAAATTTTTTATTCAACGTTGGAGATGCTGTTACTAGTCTGGTAATCATCAAACAAACTGCTGTTACTAGTCTGGTAATCATCAAACAAACGAAACTTTTCTTAATCCCTTCACTCAATCACACCACACTAAGAATCTTCTCATTAACAATCTCACCCAACCTAACTCTAAATACAAACAGCCCCTTCCAGATTTGGTTAAGGTTAACCCTGTATAAAAAGAAGAACAACCCACGAAAATACAAATAGTTAATTATAATTTTAGTCTTGAGTGTTGTCTTAGGTTGGAACTCAATATTTAAATTGTGTCAATTTAATCCAAATGTACAAAAACAAATTACAAATATCTAAGAAGCTAAGAAAAAAATCCGAATTATTTGGGAAATACTAGATTAAGCAAAGCCCTAAATTTTTATAAAAAAAAAATCATTCACAGATATCAGAGAGAGAGAGAGGGGGGTTACCGGACACCGAAGATCGCCGTGGAGATGAGCGTCGAAGACTGATAAGTTGAGGCTTTAGCCATTAGTGTTTAATGCACAAGCAACAGAGAATGTTTAGGCATGGGATTGGGGGAAACTAGAATGGAATCGACTGATAACTCATTCTGATTTATCAAAATTAGGCCAGATATCAAGGTTTTAAAGCATAGGTCCTTGCCGGACACATTCATTCATACAAAAGGAGTTTGTTCAACTCCTTGTCTTAGAACCACGTCGGGTGTACAATACAGGTAGTGTATTTGATTCTAATATAGAAGTCCGTCTACATACCGAATCTTCTTGTAAGTTGAATATAAATTTATAAATAATTTTACAAATTTGTATTTAATTTATATATTTTTATAAAATTATTTATGTAAATTTTTAAAATTTATATAATCTTATGATAAAATTACATCTGATACTGAAAATTTTTTCTTAGGGTATCCAATCATTCATCATTCACTATATATATGTATATATATCTATAAAATTAAAATAATATCATAACTAAAGAAAAAAATCGATCATAATTAAAGAAGAAAATGGCATAAGGGTTGCATATTGTACACCTTTTTTAAAGGGGTTGTTTGCACCATATGTTATTTTTCTGTCGATTGTGGCCTATTAATTATAGCCAAATTTGATTATGGTCTGTCAATTAAAATCTTTTCAAAGAATAACCTTAACCATATTTGTTTTTATTATTATTATATCTGTTGACAGATATGTTAACGTGGCATGACATATGTGTTAAGGACGCGGCATGATGACATATTAAATAGAGGGCCATAAAGTTAGTAATTGCAATAATTTGAAACTTAGTTGGATCAAGGAGCTAAGATCAAATCAAGTACCAAATCTGCAAAATGGTTCCTGTCAAACATGGGATATGGATAATGTTGAGAAAATCATGAATTTGTTGAAAAAATCGGGGGCTTAGGTTATCTTTTTCTCTCATGTGACTGAACTTATAAATAGGCCAAAAAAGATACAAAGAGAAAGCAATCAATCAATAACCCTCAATCACACTCGTGAAGAATTATTTAGGAGTAGTTCTAAATTAGCCATTTTAGAAGTAGATTAGAAATAACTTTTCCAACCCCCCACTTCTCTTCATTTTGCCAATTGATGTATTTCTTATTTCTTTGTCTTTGTTTGAGTTATTATAACCCATAGCAAGTGACAATTTAATTGAACAAATACATATTCTGTTCTGTTCCATTTCTTCTTTATTTAATTACTTCTAGGGAAGTCTCTAATCTGTTTAAGGCATAAAACTCAATCACAAAACTTAATATTTTTGTGTTTATTAAAATTGATTGAAGCCTATCGATCAATCACTGTCGATTGGATTAAACTGAATTTTTGCTTACAGGGGTATATATTAAAATTTCCCATATATGAATTACACTAATTATTTCATTAAATTTTATTACATTATTTTTAAATTTTTCTTTTTATTCCAAATTTCTTTTATGATTTTTTTTTAAAAATCTAATACTTAAAAGATTTGTTAGGCTTTTTCTTATACCGCTTGCGACTGCTTTTTAAAATCATACGAGCCACTAACAAGATTCAGGTTTAGAAAACACAAGATCATAGGTACAGAGCATCTCTTTTTCAATTATTTCTTTTACACTGTATTTGGTGTTGGAAAGTGGCTTTGAAAGCTTTGAAAAAATCTTATTTTTTGTTAACTTTGAGTATTAATTAAGGTGGGACGTAAGCGTTATTTTTAACGTTTTTTCATTGGGTTCGTGTTTAATACCGCATAGTGAATAAAATAATGTATTTGGTTGCTCAAAACCATTTCCTGATGAATGAGAATTCAACATACATTTTCTAGTTCGTGGCAATGGCTTTAGGTGGGTTTCCTACATATTTGTGAAATGTGCTTGTTCCACATTGGAAATGCTTGAGATTTTGAATGGGTTTATATACTCTAACTTGGGATACTTGGGATACTTGAGATAGGCCTCAAGGGGTACCAAAGTTTGTGGAAGGGTGAAATGATGGGTAAAATGGGCTAGACCCATTGGATCAAAAAAAAAAAAAACAGCGCGCGCCGCCGCCCTCGCCGCCGTCCGTCAAGGCTGGGCTTGGACGCGGGTGCGTGGTGTGAGGTTAATATTTATCTTTTTGTGCCAAAAACTTTTGTAATTTATTTATTTAGTCCAGAATTTTTCTTTCACCCAACATAGATCCTTAACAGGTTCAAAGGGTTCAAAATAAGTTCATACCTGTTGAATTTAAATCTGTATATGTTCAAACAGATTTGTACTTGTTCAATCTGTCCAAACAGGTTTCTATCTGTTCGGAAAAGTTGTCATTCTTCTTGTATAAAGCCTGCATTCCAGCAATTCTTGGATCAGATTTTTGTCCTTCTTTTTCTGTTCGTCTCTGTGTTTCTGCATTTGTTCTGTATTTAATTTTTTAGGAAGAAAGAGAAAGAGTTACAACATTGTTTGGTTCGCCAGACTTGATTTTATAGTGCTGTAAAATCAAGTGTTAGTTATTGCATTCTGGGAAGTAGATGCTGATAAATCTCGAAGTACTAGAGCGAGGACGAAATCTACTTTAAGTAACAATCTTAAAGTAAATTTCTAGTTTTTATTTATCTTTGTGTTAGACAAATGAATATTTTGTTTCAGAAAATTAAATAGTAGTCATATACTGTTTAATTTTTTAAATAGTAGTAATATACTATTTAATGATTTCTTTGATAACATAGCAGTAATATACTATTTATCATTAGAATTTTATTACAAAATACTATTCTGTATATTTTTGTGTAAATTCTTTTCTGTATAAATTTGTAATTGGTGTATAATTATTTTGTCAGAATTATGACAACTGAAATAAACAGTACTAAGATTGTTATTACTCAAACCCCCACACCTGGTATGCTAGTAATGACTCCGGAAGTACCTGTAAATCATGGAGAGAAGCCAAAAAAATTCAATCGAAATGATTTTAAAAGATGGCACAACAAAAGATGATGTTTTATTTTACCACATTGAATTTGACTCGTTTCACTCATGAAAAAGCACTGGCACTGAACAAGGGAGAAACTGACCGGCAAGTGGTTGCCGTAGTTGATGCATGGAAACATCGTAATTTTTTATGTCGGAATTATATCCTTAATGGGTTGGACAATATACTGTACAATGTGTATAGTGTTAAAAGCACTGCTAAAGAACTATGTGAATCTCTAGATCATAAGTATAAGACAGAGGACGCCGGTATAAAGAAAATTGTTGTCAGCCGTTTTTTGGATTTTAAAATGATGGATTCCAAAACAGTTATTAGCCAGGTTCAAGATCTCCAACTAATTCTCCATGACATACATGCTGAAGGGATGGTTCTCAGTGAATCTTTCCAAGTAACGGCAATCATTAAAAAATTGCCACCATCTTGGAAAGAATTCAAGAATTATCTGAAGCATAAGCGCAAGGAGATGAAATTAGAGGAACTGATAGTGCGGCTCAAAATTGAGGAGGACAATCGTGGTTTCGACAAGAAGTCAGGAAAGCATATCATGCAGGCTAAAGTAAATGTTATGGAACATAGACAAGGGTCAAAGTTCAATAACAAGAAGCGGAAGCATAATGGCAATGGTCCCAAACATGGATCCACTAGTAAGATCAATAAAGGGATCAACAACGGGTTCAACAAGAGGTTCAAAGGCAAGTGTTTTGTGTGCGACAAAGATGGACATCGCGCTAAGGATTGTCACGTTCGCAAGGACGGAAGAAGTTCAAGTAAAAAGCCATCACAAGCCAACATAGCCGAGGATTTTTATCTTTCCGATGAAGTGGTAGACATCAATCTTGCTGCAGTAGTCTCTGAAGCAAATTTGGTGGGCAATCCTAAGGAGTGGTGGGTGGATACTTGAGCAACTCGCCATATCTATGCAGATAAGAAGGTGTTCACAACCTACAAAGTGGTGGAAAGTAGGGAACCGTTTTTTATGGAAAACTCCTCCACTTCAACTATGGAAGGACAATGAAAGATCGTGCTGAAAATGACCTTGGGGAAAGAATTCACTCTTAACAATGTACTCCATGTGCAAGAGATTCACAAGAATTTGATTTCTGGGTCATTGTTAATAAAAAAAAATGGGTTTAAATTAGTCTTTGAATCTGACAAGGTTGTACTCTCCAAGAGTGGCATGTATGTGGGGCAAGGTTATATGAGTGATGGGTTTTTTCAGCTCAATGTAAATACTGTTGTACCAAATTTGACTATTAATAATAATAACATATCTTTTGTTTATATTGTTGAATCTTCTTTTTTATGGCATGGTAGATTAGGACATGTTACTTTTAATTCTTTGCATAAACTTGTTGCTTTGAAATGTTTACCAAACTTAGAGTTTGATCCTAATCATAAATGTGAGATTTGTATTGAGGCAAAACTCACTAAGGCATCATTTAATAAAGTAGAAAGAAGTATTGAACCTCTAAGTTTAATTCACACAGATATCTATGATTTAAAATTTGTTCAAACTAGAGGAGGTAAGAAGTACTTTATTACTTTTATTGATGATTGCACTCGATATTACTATATTTACTTATTGGGAAGTAAAGATGAAGTCATAGAAGCTTTTAAGCAATATAAACTTGAGGTTGAAAATCAACTTGGCAAAACTATTAAGATAATGAGGAGTGACAGATGTGGTGCGTATGATGCACCATTGGAGGAATTTTGTTTTGAAAATGGTATTATTCACCAAACCACTGCACCCTATTCTCCTCGGTCAAATGAAGTTGCTGAGAGAAAGAATCGAACTCTTAAAGAGATGATGAATGCCACGTTGATTAGTTTAGGGTTACCTCTGAACTTGTGAGGGGAGGCAATTTTGTCTACTAACTTTATCCTTAACAGAGTACCCCACAAGAAAGTCAATCAAACACCTTATGAATTATGAAAAAGGTTGACAACCTACCTATAATTACCTCAAAGTTTGGGGGTGTTTGGCCAAGGTGGCAGTCCCAAGTCCCAAAACGACTAAGATAAGACCAAAAACCATTGATTGTGT